GATCTCTTGAGTTCTTGGCTCCTTATCATGTGTCACTTAATCTCAGAGGGCTAAATTTTAAACATATACCTACTCTTTAGTGCCAGTCTAATTAGTATAAAGAAAAGGAGTACTTGTGGCACCTCAATAAATTGGTTAGTCTCTAAGGTGCCACAAGTACTCCTTTTCTTTTTGCGAATACAGACTAACACGGCTGTTACTCTGAAACCTCTAATTAGTATGTGCCTTGCTCTTGCATGCAAATACGCAGTGTGCATACACAAATCAAATATTTGATTAGATGCTTTGCCAGTTAGGCCCTTAGCTAGCAATGTGCTTGTACAATACCTGAATCATACGTACATGGTTGAGTGTTTGCCCATGCAAGTGTACATGTATAGGGCTTAAAAATCCACTCGCACACTTGCCTGTAACAAATAGTAATTTTTCCTAGATATTAAACTTCCATCTAAAAAAATTAATTTCCAGCTTTTATAGTTTAGAACATAGCCATGAAAGTGTGAATTGAGTGTAACAGGTGCAGCGATGTCACCTTGTGTCTGCAAGCTGATGACTCCATTGCCATTTCTAGTGCTTGCTCATAGCATTTTCCAAGCTTCAGCACAAGGAAAACTGATCAGAGGCTTGTCAGTGTGCCCTGCTGCTGTTCAGAACCTGTAGAAAATAGGTAAGAATCAGCTGATTAACTTCATTCTGCTGCTGTGAGAAACATTAGAGTAGGCACTGGAACTATTTATTAGAGATAAGGACCACCTCAAACAACAACAGCAAAAAGTCCTGAGTGGGGTGAAATAGCAGTGTTGCTCCATCCCATCTTAATAAAATAGTAATCATTTCAATATTTTAATAGTTCATAAGAGTTGTATTTCATCTTTAAGAACTTCCGGTTGTTAGGGAAGCATTGAGGAGGATGTGTGTGTGTGCAGAAGCAACGGGTAAAGAAAACATACTTATGAAATGGAAGAGAGACACACACTTGCACATAAGGAATTGAGGATTAGTGAACAAGGGAAGCACATACAGGAATGGGGAGCTGGTGTGAGATCACATACATGCACAGGTAAGAACCTATTCCCATGTTACGGGATCAGAATTTTTTGCAATTTTCTGTTCTATCCTACTGTCCATTCAACCCCATCTTAATGCCTAAGAAGCATATTGTGAGGGAGTGTTGTATTTAGTGATTATATCTCATGACTGTGAGTCAGGAGATTTGGCTTCTACTCCTTGCTCTGCCACTGATTGATGTGTAATTTCAGTTAGGTCACTCAATACTCCAGTAAAATAAGGATAATACCTCTTCAAAAAGGGTGTTGTGAGTCAGTGTTCATAAAGAGAAAAGGAGTACTTGTGGCACCTTAGAGACTAACCGATTTATTTGGGCATAAGCTTTTGTGAGCTACAGCTCACTTCGAGGTCCTCAGATAGAAGATGCATGAGAAGAGAAAAGAGAAAATAATGATTGGCTGCCTGACAGTGTGGGAAATGGGCTTAATGTGGCTGCTGGAGAAGGGAATTTTCCCTTTTAGGACAGCAACAGCGTCTTCTGCTGTGGAACACAGGCAGTCTTTGTATCCTCTTGTCTCAATAGCCTGCAAGCTGCATTGTGCTAGCATTGGGACTGCAGGATGCTTAGAAAGTGATGATTCTAAAAATCTAATCCTTTTAATTTTAGCCACTTTTGTGTTAGCATATAGTATATACTAAAAATAAAGAGTATTGTATAAATAAATATTGGTAAGATTAGCTACATTTATGTGACAAAAGAAAATCTGCTGCTTTAATTACAATAGCCACTGTTGCTCCTTTGTACAATACCACCCCTTAGTTCATCTTTCAACTGTGATGTAGAAATCAGGCCTAGCAGTTGTCAAATTTAGGAAAAAGGGTTTAAACTTAAAATAGATTGTTAAACTGCAGTAATGTAAACTTTCTGTTTAAATAGGTTGAAATAATAAAAATCAGATCCAACATTTATCATTCCATTTTTAAAGTTTGGTTCTTAATCAAGAATGAATTGAAACTAAGGGGAGGACAATTTGAAGATATGCAAAATAATCATTTAAAAGCTCTGCTTCTCTGTTTTATTGTCTGCTGTACATGAGGGAGACTCGCAGTATGGTGCCCCCTTGTGGCTACCCACAAAATAAATAGCATTAATGAATAAAAGTGCAGAAGCTCTTCAAGCATGGCACACTTTGTGATCCAACTGAAAAACATCAAGCATTTCTGAAATCAAATAGGCAGTTATTGGATCAGGATCTTGAGAAATATTAAATTTCAACAAATCGTTGTTTGGGGTGACGGAGGAAACAAGATACTTGTCTCCTCTCTTTTCATTTAAACTATGAAATGTATTTTTCACAAGTAGATCCTGTTTTAATAACTGAACACTTGATTAGGTAATGTTAAGGTTGCTGCAAGTGTAGTTTAATAACCCTCTACACTTTAAATATTTTAGTATGCAAATAAACCATTGATAACCTCATAAATTTGCAAATGCATACATTGTTATGCCTGGAGGGGAAATAAGTCAGGATTTATTGGTATCACTTAGGCTACAGTTCCTTAAAAGTAAAGCAGTGTTGGTAGCATTAGTTGTCCAGACAAAATGAACTTTAACTCACCTGCCCATGTGTTGATTATTTTTATTTAGCCTGGCAGTAGCTGCATAAAAATTGTGGATCTAGATATTCACTGTTCTTAGCACAGTAGAGCACAGCATGGAATCCAAAGACCTGTATATATATTTTTTCTGTACTTGTTTCTTTGCTGCTGTATTACCAATGGTTATCAAAACAATTCGATTGTCTCAGCCAAGGACATGTAGGTAATGTGTAATTGATCTCTGACTGTGTTTTTTAAAATACTGTCTCATTAGTATAGTAGGTGCTTCAGCCTACTATACTAGTATTACAAATAAAAATATATTTAAGATGGTGCGTTGTAGCACTTATGAAAGATCCCTCACTTCATCCTGGCCACTGAAAGGTTTGTTATTGGTTCTATCCTTCAGTATCCCTTCATGAGAGATTATATCAAAGAATGAAATTATAATTGATTGGTGTTATTGATTTTTTTTTTTTAAGGGCTTAAGGGGTCATGGAAACAGCATATGTCCATGTGCTCTTTTACTGATGGCCCATTTTTTTAAATATAAAAAGCATATGTGCCCAATTTACGTATTTACTAATTAAAAAAGCTTCCTGGAAACATTAAGTAGACTATCTTCTGTAACCTTTAACATTGTAGCTAATGGATATAGCCTGGAAATTTTCATAGAAGATTCTCTAAATAATGTAAAATGATTATGAATATGTAACTAGTTAATATGCAGCTATGAAAGGATTATCATGTAGAGGTTAATGAACATGCTGCTCTTATGGTTTGCAGGGCTTTTCTTTTTGTGCTTTTAGCTCACTTCATGCATGGAAAGTCATGTATTGAGAATGGAAAGCTTCCTGTCTTCTTTTTTTTGTAGCTTCTTCTTTAATGGGGCAATTAAGCTGGAACTTTCTTAAAGGATTTTGTAAACCTTTTTTGTACACTTAATTTATGTTGTGTACTTTGCAATCTATCAAATCTGAAACAGTGAAATATGTTGATATAATATTCTCTGATTCTTCTACTTGTAAAAGCAGTACTCTGTTGTGTACTACTACTGTTATGAAATGTTGCTACTGTATGCGACATACTAGGAAAGCTTTATTTTAAAATAGATTTGTGTATGATGCATTAATAGTATGGTTTTCTGAATGTATACTTCTAGAAATCTTCCTCTTTGTGCCTAAATTTTTTTAAAGTTAGCAAATACATTAGGTGAGATTATTTTATAGAAATTAAACATAGGATTTAAAATTACAAATTCTTCTGTGACAAAGGACATTTAACCTTGGTGTTAGCACAACCAACTGGATGGCTGAATTTGTCCCAATGTGTTGGATTATTGTGATGGTAGTGAGATCACAAATGTGGGACTAATCCTTCAACCCTTACACATTTGAATAATTTTTAGCTCTCAAAAGAGCCCTGTTCTGTTAGTTTTCAGGCATATTCTCCTATTAATTGCTTTCAAATGTTAGCATTCTTGTGACCATGTGAGAAACAAATATTTGCAAAAATATCTGAAAAAATGTTATATTGAGATTCTAGACATATTTGATTGCCTCATAGCTTCTTTGCATTTCATGTAATTGAGTGAAATTGTCTCTGTTATACTTTTCAATTTGTGTTGTTGAGAGTTCTGTATGTATTTAAACAAAATGTCCATGCAGTTGTGGTACAGCAGACAAACATCTTGACTGTATGTACTATATGTAATAATGTCTATTATTACTAAACTGAGGTATCCTCCCAAATTTAATATTTTAAAGTACGCAGTCTTAAAAATATTCTGAATTGGTTAATTTTCAGTCTCTTTGGGAAGTCTATATTTTGAAGAAATAAGTGGGCTATTCAGATCATAATTAAAAAAAAAATAGAGGTAATCTGTTTGCATTTAAACACTGTAAAATTCATTTGTACTGTTTTAGAATAAAACTGTAGGTGAAAACATTTGTAGATGTACTGATAAAGTAAAACATTTTCAGGGCTGGTTTTTCTTTTAACTGAACAGGCATGGATGTTACATTGACATCTTGTTATAATTTATATTGGTTTCTTATCCTACAAAACATGTAACATTGAAAATAGATCTGTAGATTGTACAAAATACTCGTAATCTTGTATCATGTGTCACCTAATAGTTATGGAGCAGGTATTGTACCAAAATCTGAATTGGAAAGCTGTAATTTGTTCTCCAGTTATCAGTCTGCATTAGTGTTGTGATAAAGTGTGCTGCTTAAGAACTAACATTCACATGCCTTTGCATTGACAAATAAAAATGTATATAGAGAAGCTACCAAATCTGTAAAGCTACTGTTCTAGTTTCTGTTACATTGACATTGCAGCTGTGTGCTTAGCCTTGTTTTTTCATGAGCAGTTATCTGTTTTAATGACAGGTGGTCACTAGCTGCCAAGAAAAAATCCAGCACTGGTAAGTGAAAAATGTTTGATTACATGCTTAAAATACTGATGAAGTAACCTACTTGTGTTTTAGTAAAGTATCAAGCAATTATAGTATTTATAACAATGTTAGTTAAATTTTACTAGTATACTTAGGGTGTATAGTTTGAGATAGCTCTGACTTATTGCACTGTGCCCTCTTTAAAATTCATATTTTCTTTCCTGTGATATCATTGCTCTAACACACAAATATATTTGAACCTTAACGTGTATGCTTCTTTTATACCCTCTTTCCCCTTGCCATTTTTTGCACCAATAATCTTCTGTAAAGAATACTGAATCTGCCTGACTGGATAAAAAGGTGTCAGCAATTTGGAAGTTATTCCTGGGTATTTTTTGTTTTTTTATTATTATTTATTACTACTACTACAACCACTACAGGAAAGCGCACATGCTTATTTTAAGTAATTTTATGTATATATAGAGAAAACATAATGTTTCAGTATTTTTACAGTAAACTGTTTCGTAAGTATTAATACATGTAATGTTTAGAAAAAAAAGTGTCCCTTTAAAGCATTATCTCTGGGCACTATTTTTTTTCCTGCTGTTTTAATGTGGTAATCCATAGTTAGTAGAAAATATGCCTAGTAAATAGCAGATTCATATGGCATTTGAGGAAAATGTACATTTAATGGTGAATGAAATCTTATGAGTTACAGTGAGATATAACATTTGATCTTACAGATATCAAATTACAATATATCCATGCTGTGTTTACCATGATTTTACTGAGAGAACAACAGGAGCTGTCTTGATTATTGTCTGCAGGGTTATTGCAAAATCACAGCAACTGCCCCTTTAGTGGTGAGATTAAACCTTTGGTTATACACCATCAAGCATATAATATTTTAAATTTATTTTAAGAGGCTTTTTCTTCATGCCTGAGAGATCTCCAAGCAAATAATTTATAGTTAGTGTGTATCAAATGTTTTTAGTTTAAATGCACATAGGCTGCAAGCAGTGGATAAGAGTTTTAAAAAAAAAAATCAGGGCAATCTGTACACATCATCATATTAAATTCTGACTATTGGCTTGCAGAAAATAATCTAAAAGTAATATGTTTCACTTATGTTTAAAATTCAGAGACTGCATTAATTTTCAATAAGGAAAGTATTATAGTGGTGCCATTGTTGCTGTTGTAGTTAAATCTGTCAGCATTTCCACAATATGCTTTTCAGGAGTTTATAACTTATCCATACCAATTTAGTCCAGGATATAAGTTCTCATTCTGGGAGTCTTCTTTCCCAAAAAACATTGACCAAAAGCCTAACTTTTTGAACTTTTACAAAATGAAAAGTTTACAAGTTTGTTTGTTTTTTGCTTCTATAAGAATGTCTGGAATTTTCTTCAGAGTAACAGCCGTGTTAGTCTGTATTCGCAAAAAGAAAAGGAGTACTTGTGGCACCTTAGAGACTAACCAATTTATTTGAGCATACAGCTCACAAAAGCTTATGCTCAAATAAATTGGTTAGTCTCTAAGGTGCCGCAAGTACTCCTTTTCTTTTTGGAATGTTTTTGTTTGTGTTTTGCTTTTTGGGAGGGTATGGTTTTGTTTTGTTTTAAAACAAACCCTTAGTTAATATCTAATTTTTGGATGTTTTTCATAGAGAACAGGAAGGAAGGATTTGAAATTGGCTGATGTATTTTATATAGCAAAGCAGTTTACAGAGCATGTACATAATTAAAGAAAATGTATTAACATTTGGATCCACATTGTGCAAGAGCTGCGTGCTATGTGTTTCAGCTGAATAATACCATTTTATGAGAATCTTTAAGTAGCCAATGACACAGATAGATGTTAAATAGAATTGGATGAATAATAGCACAGTTTTAAAATACTCCATTTTAATAAATTTCCATTAAAATTCATTTTTTTCTTTTTAATTAACTTATTTTAAAAGTATAGATTTAGAGACATAAATAACTGCTAAAATAATGAGTAAAGCATGGGGTCAGCTAAAGCATTTCCATTTATAGAGGCACTTCATAAGTTGAATCATTGCTAAATAAATATTTATTCTGCCTGAAAGTATAACACTGTTGTTGGTTTTAATTTTTTAATTGTCTATGCAACCAATAAACCCATGAGTTCACATGATCATGTGTCATTAGATGGGGAGAGAGGAAAACTTCCTATATAAGACTGTTTCAGGTCAATTCAATAAATGGATTTATTTTTATTTTCTTGGTTCTGTTATATCTTTTTAGAGCATTGCTGCATTTTCAGAGACTTCCAGAGTAGAGTATGATCCAGTAAGTTCCACTGAAAAACAAAGGTGCATCTTTTAGTCATTCCCCAATACTCTTTCCACTGAACTTTCTCCGACATAATGGTAGGCAACCACATCAAGAAATCAGCTTCCAAGTGTCACTAATATAGAATATGTGCAGTGCCGTAGAATCCTTCTGCCTTTGATGCAGAGCAGTTCCTGCAGCACTCTTATCTGGTTATTCAGTAGTGGTCAACTGCCTAATCCTAAAGGACACCACCTTCTTTTCAGATAAATGGAGAAATTGCTTATCCTGGCTGTCAAATTTAGGAGATGTTTAGCGCTGAAATGATCATTTTTTCCACTCTTGTTTTCCTAGGGATTCCCCTCTTCGTATTTCAAATATAGCAAAAGGGTTTTGACTGCTATTGCTTCTGTGCATCTTTAATAAAGGTTTTCTTACTTTAGAATATGAATTGTCTTCATATCATAAGCAAGGTGAGATTTGTGATGATGGGTTTTGAAGAGTCTATATCTTGATGTTTTTTTAAACCACACAGAAATACTTAAAAGTTCTTCTATTGCATGTTGCCACTCAGTCTTCAAGATTGTTATCCTTTTGGCCTGTCCTTCAACAGCAAGTGTTGACCTCACACTACATACCCAGCTGATCATCTGTGGGAACAAGTTTTCAAATATTTAATCAGATATCAAAACAAACAAGATTGCATCGAGATAAACATACTAAGCTTTCGAATTCCAACGATGATCACTGGTAACTGTAGAGTCCCTTTAACAAAAAGCTGGAAATGGTGCAGTGTTAAAGATCTTTATCAAGCCTTCATTTCCAGATTCCTAATTAGATGGTTATATAAAAAAAAAAAGAGAGAAGGAAAATAAAAACTTCTGGCTCTGATTCAGGGGGCCAAAACTGCTAGAAAAATCTCTTTTATTTTTATATCACTTCCAGCTTTCTAGTCAGCATATTAGCTGAGCAGGATAGACTAAGGGAGAAATCCCTTAGAGAAGTCAGATGAGATAACCACAATAAAATTTTACACTCTGTGCAAAAGCTAACAACTTATTTTCTTTTCTCAGAAGAAAAAGATGCCAGATCTTCAGCGATGTGTCTTAAGGATTCCTGTTCCAAAAAACCTCTTTAGCAGAACTAATTGATTTGTTTTCCCTTGACTTCCATCCCCCACACCTCCAACTAGATTTTCTTCTCATAGTAGCAAGCTGAAATAGATTGTCCCCATTTGTTTGGGAGATAAAAATGTGGTATGACTGCATCATTGCTAATTTTCCATAAAAATAGGAATATCGTTGGCGGCAGAGAACAGAGCTTAAGACTTTTCTTCTTCTATTAACAATAAGTTGTTGTCATATTGCTTCTCTTCTAAGACTCTCGCTGTACTTCGTAAATGTTAATGAATTTACCTTACAACAGCCCTGTGAAGAAGGGTGACTAATATCATCATTTTACAGGTGAAGAAACTAAAGCATAAGGGGGCTTGTCTGAGGTTTGTCAGGAAATGTGCAGCAGAACCTGAAATAGGATCCAAGTCTTCAAAAACTATTTTGTGTTTTAATCACAAAGGGTAAAATTTTCAAAAGTGTCTAAAAATAACTTTGGAGCCTTAGTCCATAGGACTCAGTTCAGCATTTTAGACATGTACTTTGAGACTACAAAGTACAGCAGATACCTTGTTGAGTGCTTGAATACTGCAGTGTGTGGTAAAGTTTGATGTTTCTACTAGTGACCACTGTAACAGTAATCTTCCAGCAACTAAAAGAGACAAAAAATTATGGGATTATTGAAACTTGTTTCATAGTCCCAAAATGATCAAAGAGATTCCACTTTATTTGGGAATTGAAGAAGGTCAGTAATAGTTGGTTCGTGTTTTTTAAGGTGTTCATATTGCAGTTTCTTCATCCACCTGGTCAAGCTATATGTCTACTTCTAGTAAACAACTGTACAGGATGCCGACCTGAACACCCTCAGAAAACCACCGGAATTCGCATCTTTTGGTCAACATTTTCAGTTCATATCCATGATGCTGACTTCCATCCCAAGATTAAATACAGGTTGAACCTCTCTAGTCTGGCACCGTAGGGACCTGACCGGTGCTGAACCAGAGAATTTGCCGAACCACGGGAGGTCAACACAGAGTGTCAGCGGGTCTCCATAGATGTGGGAAGTAGGGTTGTGGTGGGTGTTGCAGCATCCCCAGGCTTTGCACCCACCGGGGTCCTGGCCGTCAACCCCCCCACCCCACCCGATGGCTCCAATGCCAGCCCCAGATCTCAGCTGCTGACCCCTTGCCCGGGGTTCCAGCCTCTTGCCCGGGGTTCCAGCCTCTTGCCCCAGTTCCTCCATTTCCCTCCGGAGCCTGAACGCCGCGAATCAGGTGTTCGTGGTGCGCTGGGAGGGAGGAGGAGGAGTTGATAAGCTGCCAGCACGCAAGAGGTGCAGGGGGAGAGGGCAGAGAGGTGAGCTTGGCGCTGGTGGATGCTCCACACCCACTAATTTTTCCCTGTGAGTGCTCCAGCCCCAGAGCACCCACGGAGTCGGTGCCTATGCTGGACTATGGATGTTGCCAGACCACGGAGCGCTGGATTAGAGAGGTTCAACCTGTACAAAGATTAATGAGGTGCTGTATTGGGGCAGAAGTAGAGAATGTCCTCTACTCTCAAATGTATATATTTGATGATGCAGTGCACGTGGTAGCTGATAATTTACCTTAAAAAAGTATTTTTTCCAACACACCAGTTTCAATATTCTTTCAGAAGAGGGCTGTTTTCTTTTTGTTTGTTTGTATTTTTACTGCCAGCAAACAAGACAACATTCCATAGGTAACGGTTTCTCCCAAGCTCAGAGAGTTCCTGATTTTTTCACAGTATCCACTGTTTGGATTGTTTGGCCAGATCCACCAAGACATTTCTATTTTCTTTGGCCCCTTTCCCAACTTTGTCTCAGCGACCTTTCTTGAAATGGACCAAATACCACTTCCGCACCTCACTGGTCTATCCTAAGTAAATTGATTTTGTGCAGGAAATCTGACAGATTCTTGGAAGGAACCAACCTGAACAATTTGGAAACTTGGTGCAGAGCAGCTAATGACCATTTCATTATCACAAGTAAGGGTAGTAGTAACGGCTGGGGCCCTTGCACACCCTCTATAGGGACCTTCTGCATATGGATCCATGTCATGCCTGATCTACTGATTGCTACCCTAGTGTGCTATGCCACCAGCTGCCCAGGTTGCTGCAGAAAGTACCAACATGGTCAGAGCTCCAGAGCATGCAGGGTCAGAATTCTCATGGCCAAGAGACTACTCGTAATTGAATCACTTTGGCTTACAGCTTTTAAGTTTACGGGAATGTGTTTTCTGTATCTCTTCTTCTGCTGGTGCATGGTTGTGTGAACTCAGTCTCGATAGGTGCTATTGCATATGCTGCTTATGAGTAGGAAACATATTTTGGGGGAGTATGTTTGAAATTATTCTCTTTTGCAATGTAAATTACTGAGATCCCTTCTGGCACTGACTTTCTGACTGCACTTGCCCATAAACATCTTTGTTGTTTAAGATGGGGAGTTTGTTGTCCTATTTAAGACACTTCCAAGATCACAAATTTGTTCATGAGTTGCTATATAGTTGAAATAGGTATTAAAAATCCTCATCCAAGTTGATAGGAAAAGTCATGTACAAAAATTCTGAGGAAATTCTATGGGAAAGAAAATTTCTATGCAGAATGTTCTAAAATGCCCAAAAGAAGAGTAGAGCAATATGTAAACATGCAACAATTGACCATTAGTAATTTTTTCTTGCTCAGGAGAACTAGAGTAGTGTTTCACATCTATACTCCTCGTTGATAGGTCAAGAAGCTACAATAACCGTATGGTCAAATCATCATCTTTTAGGAATTTTGACTGTCCATGGGGAGAGAAAATTCAGCTAGAAATCAGATTTAACTTTAGAGTATTGCCCCCTTTTTAAAGCCCACACTGATTGTTCATTGCAAATAAGGTTCTGAAGATTCTGCCTCTTCTAAAATATAAGCTGGAATTCCAATTTGTCTTCTAAATTATGATGGTGGTTTAATTGTTGAACCAATACAGTGTGCTGTGAGAGCTACAAAATACAGAGGAAAGCCCTATTCTTTTCCCCAAGGAGCTTGCAATTCAAAAAGATGAGCTTCCAGACTAAAATGAATGATGTCCTTAGCTGGGCCATCACAAAAGAGTTTTTAAATAAATTGTTAAAAATGTTAAAATAAAAAAATTAATCTTCCATGATATAAAATGTATACATTTATGAATTAAAAACAGTTCTCCCTCCCATATCTTTCCATGGAGCACTGAAAATACATCAGCAGAAAACCATTAACTATTTTACATTTAGAAATAATTAAACTCACTTGAATTTGTCAACAGGAGGAAGGTGGAGAATGATTATGAGGCTCTTCAAGAACGTCTCAATACGTTGCCTGATAAACTGTCTTATGATATCATGGTACGTACAGTATAGTTCATTCAAAATAATGGACTCATGGTTTTAGTATCTGAGGTTACTGCACTGGCAGTGAGGTATATTATTCAGGTTTACCATATAGTACTTACTATAATTAATGTATCATTACTAATAGTTAAACCTTTGCTTCTTTTTCTCTCTCTCCTCTTTTTTCAAATCCATAATAAATTATAATGTTACTGACAATTGAGAACTGATGACATAAATGTTAACACAAAATATGACATATTTGGTATGCAAATCTATTCTACCGAAAACTGTAATTATGACTGAAATATGGTACTTAGTCATTTCCTGTTAGCCATAGAACAAAGAGGCCATAATATTTTCTGATTCACGGAATTAAACTCTGCGACATTGATTTTTATATAAAAAGGTGGTGCTAATTTTTGTTTTAACGATCTTTATGTTCACATAGTGAGTTCTTGTGCTTTGAGTCATTCCTAGCAAGCATACTTTAGCCTTGAACACCAACCAGAATTCAAGTTCCTGACTTCACAAAGTTACTATTTTCTTGTTTGAAGCTATTTTGTGCCTAATTCATAATACACTTTGAACGGGACTGAATTGCTGAGTGAATTGGTAATGGGATACAGAATCATTTATCTCTAAGGTGTCACTTCAGAACTACTAAATAAAATTAGTAACCATCTGCTGGTTAGGTGGTATATCAGACTGTGAAACAAACAGGTAGTCTCAGTCCACTTCTAGTTACATCTCACTTGCTGCTCACTGGCATTCAGGTTGTCATTCTCAACAAGGGAAGTCAAAGGCTAAAGTGAGCATGAACGCTGCACTACATTTTCACACAGGTTTTGGGAACTGTATGGTATTGGTGAGCTACTGGTAGAATAGGCTTATACTGCCTGTATTGTGGGTAAAGAAAAGAAGGGTGTTAAACTGATAACGCCAATCAGCAGCAGTAACTTTACTAGGGAGGTGTGTGTGTGTGTATGTAGAGAGTTTGCTGTTGTCTTATACTTGAGAGCAAAATGGATAGTCTTGTTTCAAAACATTGCAAAAGTAAACCAGATTCATCGAGCTATAGTTTTTGTTTTAAAGTGACAGTGTCAACTCAGATTTGCCATTTAAAATGTATATTAACAATCCTTGTCCCTTTAGCCAGCTATCTGCCTATGTTTTTAATTTTATACACAGTGCTGCTTTTGTGTGTGTGTAAATGTTGCAAGCTGTCATTTTGAAGGCCTTTGTAATTTCAGCCTGGGAGAGTACATCTTTAAGAGGAATATCCTCCTCAGAATCTTTCTTCAAGAGGCTCTCCCTCCCCTCCTACCTCCCACTCTCCAATATGTGCTCCAGGCATTGCCACCTACTGGCTTTTCCTTCTGGAGAAGAGGAACTGCCATGAGAGGAAGAAAATATATGGTCCAAATGCCCTGTACTATGATATGAGGGATGAAGGGGTGGTGCTCCTGCCCTCAAGAAGTGAGGGAAGACAGTGATCCAGGAAGTGTGTCTGAAGTGAGGAAGTGCTGGTCCAAGGTTGCAGGGTGACAACTCTTTCTCCTCTGGTGGAGAGTTACTTGACTATAAGCTGAGCTGGGTGGTAGCTGCTTGACTTGTTCCTCCTTCTGCTTCTATTCAGCTGGATCACAGCTGATGGCTAACACGTATGACCTTCCCCCTTTGAAGTTCAAGCCTGAATGAGAACCAGATATGGGAGATGAGGCTGGTGGGTGGGCAATTAGTACATCAGGGATAGGGTTAGTGTGGGAGAGGGTCTAGCACTTATAAGGCCTGAGTGGGCCTAGCCTAAGTGAGTAGTGTGGGGTCTGCCTGTAGCTTATGTGTAAAGTGAGCTGGTCTGTGGGGTGGGTGGAAGGATCATAAACATAGTGTCATGTCTACTGTAAACTTCAAGAAAACTGAATACACACTTTTTAGAAATTTGTCTTAAGTAATGTATTTACCACTAATTATTTACTCCCATTGCCAATACTCAGATTTTAAATCATTTATTGCTTCCTGTTCCTATGAGTTATTGGAGGAAGACATATATGGCTTCCAGAACATTGCATGAGGATGATGTTACCCTCATGTTGGTGAATGAGAACAGGAGGTGTGTGGATTAGTAAACAAACACTCCCACTCTACAGGAGTATTGGCAGGTAGCAAAAATTTTAGGCTGGAGACAAGCAAATTTGATTTGGGGAAAAATTGGGGTTTCTAAATAGGTGGTAGTAACACAACTAAATAAAACAACTGATGTTTGAGTTGACTTCCTTTAAATAACATTTTTGTTATAAATCTGAGCAATGTTGTACTTAACTGGGAAGTGAAAACACTTATTTTATGTATAATAGTTTCCAATCATATAAATGAGATATAATATTTTTATTTTAAAAACCTAAGTAGCAATATAGTATAACGTTTTTTGTTTTCCTGTCAGCATCCATTAGTACTTAAGTTTTATGCCTCAGAAGGGTTTTCTGGTTAAATATTAACCTGTTCTGTTTGGCACAATATTAAATTCAAACTGTGGTTGGGATTCAGGTCGGGTAATTTGAATGTTTGTCCTGTGTTTGTGATTAAATAACAGTGCTATAGAGTTTTGAGTCCTTCTCACCATGGTTGAATGTTAGTTTATTTGTTCGGTGAAGTGCTCATTAATGACCATCTAATTTAATTTTTAATAGTGGTTTTTAGCTGTTTGCTTTCTGACTTTGACAGGTACCTTTTGGTCCCCTTGCCTTCATGCCAGGAAAACTTGTCCATACCAATGAGGTCACTGTTCTGCTTGGGGACAACTGGTTTTCCAAATGCTCAGCTAAGCAGGCCATTGGCCTGGTTGAGCACAGGAAAAAACGTATGTATATTTATAAACAATTATTATTTGAGTCAAAATTATTAGCTCCATATTAAAAATATATAAAACTGGAGGACACAATATTTAAGTATCCTTTGACATTGCATTTCTTTTAAAGGTTTATAGGTCTGGTAGTATGATTTAAAAAAAAGTTTAAGTAGCTTTTGCAGACTACAGTATTTGGTTTGATGAACTGACTTATGAAAATCTGGTTTGGAAGTAATTATCTGCACAGCACAGTTCCATAAGATGTCAGGTAAGAGTGGGAAATGTGGTGGTTTTTTTGTTTTTTTTAAGCCCTTATCAAAACTTTTAGACACTCTAAAATAAATAATTTTACCAAAATCCAGTTGTTGTTCACATTAGTAAGCCAATACAAGATGATGATCAATCAAAGGTTGTTCAGATATAAAGTTAAATGTGTAAAAACAAACCAATTCTGTTAAAATCAAGTGTTCACAGACTTTCATAGTGAGGACTGTGTCTATAGACAGTCTCTCGGACACCACGTTTTACATTTGTGATCATGCTGACCACCTCTTTTTCAGCTCGCTTTTACATATCCTCCCTGTAAATTGCAGCAATTGCTTACATGAAATAGTAGTAATAAGAAAATATTTATTTCTTTTAACTTTAATATGCTAAATGCTTTATTCTTTTTGAAAAAAGTGAATCACACACTACTTTTGCTCTTCATTTAATCTATCCCTCCCATGTGCGCTGGTTGTCTCCCTCTGCACTTTCTTCCCTGGCACGTGGTTTTCTTCTGTTTTCCTTCTCTGGACATGCTGCTCAGTTCCTTTTGCTCCGTTCTCCTGGGGACACTCCACTTCCACTGGGGGCAGGCAGATCAAGTATCACTGTATGCTCTTGTGTCTTTCCTCCTTTTATGTAGCAGCAGCCCCTAGTAAAGGCAGCTGATTTGCAGTTCATTGTCTCCAGCCAGTTTTACTTGTCACCAGACTCCTTGCTTTAAAGGCACACTCCATGTGCCTTTAGAAGCGCTTGGAAAGGGGGACAGCCAGCTATGTGATCAGCCAACTTTCTGGACCACCAGCAAGTGTTCTTCACACCACAATTTAGCTTTAGTTTAATTTGCTGTGTTATAATATGAGCCTGAAATATCAGTTTAGACGTCAAAAAAGGAAAAAAGTGGTACTTTTTAGCTATGAGCTACTAATATATTTTTCAGATTAGCATTTGAGTTATATTTTATATCAGTTTTAATTCTAAAAGTTTTGTAATCTGCTTTGTATCTAAATTTCTTTTCATTACCACTTTACCCTGGTTAGTTATCTATGTTGCTGCCTGTAGTGCAAAACCTCAGAGGCTCCCCTCTTTGTATGATTTATTTTATGTTTATAAAGAGTAGGCATGCATATAGGAAAATAAATTTATCTTCTTTAAAAAAAAATTCTTTATGAAGAGTTTTAACAAAAAAGGTAATTTGTATTTCACCTGTTTTATTTCTTTATCCTGTTCCCTGGGGATCACTTAGCAACAGTTGCCACATATCAGTGAAAACTTCCTTCTTATTCACTGTAACCTATGTTACTTAATGTGACTTCTGCTAGATTTGAGATTCATTTTCCTTTTTTGTTATATCTTACCAGTGTTGTCACTACTAAACTCAGTGAAACTCACTTGACCTTTGCATAGTAGATGTCTGATAACACCAAGTACTCTGCCAGAACATATGCACTAGTAGACGTGGGATTTTTTTTTCTGATCTTTTAAATTGCATTAGAATATGAACTCGGAAGTTTTAAGTTCTTTTGAAGCAGAATACTGAAGGATATCTAGATATAAGGCCTCCATTCTGACAATGTCTCAGATATCACTTTTTGTCCGTATGATGGTTGCCAGTGGGAGGCTCCAAAACACTGATGTTAACTAAAAATTTTCATTTCAAATACTAAGTACAGTTTCTGTATAAGAACCTTATTAACGTACATGACATACAAAAATAGGAATTATTTTCAGTTGATATGAAAAACACATGGAAACACAGAGTTATGAAATTCTTTCAACCATTTTCTAGTAAGATGAGGCAACTAAGAATAGAATTGTAAATAATTTCCCTGTTTTACCTTTTTTTAAAAGTAGAAAAGCTATCTTAGATACATAAAATAATTGCAGGCCATTGGTATAAAATGTGAACTAACCACTGGTGACACTTATAAACATGAAATAGTGTTACTTCATAAAAGATTTTGTAAAACATACTTTACATATTGCAGTGCAGTTGTTTTAATAGGCTAGGTCTCATTGATTTCAATGGGATTTTTGTATGTTATAAAAGTGGCTTCATAATTTACAGTGTGATAAATATTGGCATTATCATTATATTGGTGCATCATTGTTGGATTCCAATACCCCTTTTTTTGTTTTGAACACATTTATCAGGACTAGGTCCATCCCTATGGGAAAAGAGGAAAAGCTGTTTCAAGGGATCAAACTCTTGCTGTCTCAAAAATGATGGACAGTAGCAGTAAAGTCCCAATTGAACAAAGCATGCGCTTAAGGCTAGCACATGCTTTCAGTGCTTTGCTGAGTTAAGAATTAAGGTCAAATGGACAACAGTACCCTAGGAGAGATTCAAGCTGAAATCTCTTGTGATTAAAATGTGAGGATTTCTATTGATGATTCTTTTCTTCTAGGACTTATACTTTATGTAATTGACAGTCTCATACTCATATTTCCAAACATTAGGATTTTTTTGTAGTATTAGGTATTTTTAAATTAAAAGATAAATAGAATTTTTGACAATACGAGTTATGTTCTCACATTAGCATTATAAAAAGATGATGCCGATATATCAAATTATACCAGCAGAATAGTGTCAAGGTCATTAATGTTATGGGTAAAAGTAGGATTTTTTACTGTTTGTAAGTTATAACAATTATATATTAAATAATTCATTTTCCTCTTTACTAATAGCCTTTAAACTAGTTCTTTAAAAGGGATTGTTGGTAAAAATGTTGCAGGCTCATCTTTTGTCTCTCTAGTAGTTCTGAAATGCCCAGGTACAACAGAATAATTTATCAGTTGAAATTTATTTAATGTAAATGGTTGATTAAAGGATGACTGCTATTGAGTTTTAAATTAAATGGTTTTAACTGAGATCACTTTAGAAAAATACTAATTTCAGTGCATAAACTTCTGTTGTTTTTTAACTTTTGAGTTAGACCTTTAGCTATTCAGTAGTCTGATTGGTTGAAACAGATTTCAACTGGTATAACACAGGATAATTGCTGTTGTCAAATGTTACTCTTTTCATAAAATATTGATCATGTCTTCCTGTGTAGCATTTATGTGGATTGCAATAAGTCTTTCATTTACTATACAATTATACGACATACCTAGATGCTCAGGTAGTTACAGAACTCTGTAAAAGTCAAAACTAGATCTAGTAAAGTTTGTAGAATAGACAAGTATATTTTAAAATTATTTTTTAAATTAAAAGGTAATGAAATATAGTAGTGTATAAAATCTAGAAATACAGGTAATGGTAACTACCTTACACACTTGCTCATGTATATAAATGAGAAGAAAAAAGTGAAGTAGATTAAAGATACACATATACCAAATTCCATTATAATAAAAGAAATTAGCTTTTTAAGTATGTCACAGTTTAGCACAACAATAATGCAATAGTCATTTTTTTTCTTACAATTATCTTGCTTAAGGTACTTCATAATATTTCTGTTCTCCTCAAGGCATGTCTGTATTGTTTCAGAATTCAAAGAGGGAATAAAGATTCCTTTTTGTGAATATGGGATTATACCCTTTACGTGTTTGTGATGATATAAATTAATTTCCTCCCTATATCAGTAATCGCATTAATTTCTTAAAATGGGGAAATTTTCATTACAATAGTCCCTGTGATAGTTACTATAGAAAGAAATTAAATAGTTTTTCGTGTAAATATTTGTGGATTAATTCAATATGTTTGTTTGATATTCCAAGCGTCTGAATACTTTAAAAGGTAGGAAATTAAACCACAAGCACCGCCCCCTCCAGAAAAAACCCCACAACCCCCCAAAAAACCAACAACCTAGGAGTGGTTTATTGTGTTCAAATCTGTAGAATAAAAAATAAAATTCTACTTAAAGAACTCTTGAACTGCTTAGTAATTGTACTTCCAGTGTATGTAAGAATACCCTTGCAGTGTGATGCTGCAAATGAATTCATGAAATGAAAATACTGATTACATTAACATACAGTATTGTGATAGTACCCAATTGTAAATTGCAGTATGTAACCTTTAATACAAATATTTGTGTCAATCAAAATTGACCGATGTTTTAGATTGCAGAATTATACAGTGTTTTTCAAAAATCATTGTTTATAATAAGATAAAACCAGGCAGATAAGAGAAAAGGCTGAATTTGTTCATTATCAGTGTTAAAAGAGAGAAAAATATTGCCTACGATAAATAAATAAAATAAAAGCTTTCCATTTTCTGTATAAGAATAAGTAGGATCTTGAGGATCAACACCTTTATCATTTCAACTGGGGTATGTGAAAGTATATTGGTTAAAACAAAACAGTTGACGTTTACTTGTCCACCATTTTTTTGGGAAGGGAGCATGAGAAGGCATAATGTTATGGAAGAAGTGTCCCTTGTTTTTCTTTATTAGCATAACAATATTGATGTTTTACTTTTAACTGTTGGTTCGTGCATCTGTGTCTGTCTGTCTGTCTGTTTAGATCTCCCTGTGTATTGCAGAATTACAGAATATTCTGTTACCATAGTATTAAACATTTTTTAGCTGATGATTTTTAAAAAAAATATTTCACCTGTTTATTTGATGACCCCTATCACTTCCTCATTTATCCTTGTTATATAAGGAACTGATTCTGTGAGCTCTTAAGGGCCCTAAAATTGCTCAGCAACTCCCAGGAGGCATTTAGTTTCTCATAGGACCATGGCCTAAGCATTTTAACCAATGTAAGGAGGAAAAGATCAAGGAGGAAAAGTTCTTTCCAGTCAGTGC